AGGGAGAGGAGGGCGGTAGACGGAGAGGAGTCTACTTTTGAGGCGTAAACCTGGAGAAATTTATGGGTAAATGTAAGTTGACAACGTTGAATACAAGAAAGAGATTACGATGAGTGGGAGCCGGAGAGCATGAGTGGGAGTGGGAGAGGAGTAGTGGGGGCAGGAGAGAGAGGAAGGGTTGGGCGACGGAAGCTACAACAGTGCGAGGAGAAGTGCGGTACGAGAGAGGGGAGGGCAAGGGAAGCTACAACAGTGCGAGGAGAAGTGTAAAGATTGCGGGATAGTAGACGACTTTTGAGGCGCCTCAAAAGCAGGAGAGCGAAAAAGGGTTGGGCCAGAGAAGCTACAACAGTGCGAGGAGAAGTGCGGTAGGAGAGAGGGGAGGGCGAGGGAGGAAGGGGGGGGGGGGGGGATGTGGCAGTGCACAGCCAGTTACCCCCCTTCTTCCCTCGCTTCATGTGCAATATGATTGTTTTTGAGACGTCTCAAAATTGCGAGGAGAAGCGCAGTGGGAGAGAGGGAGGGAAGGAGGGGGGGTGTGGGATTGCGCAGTCAGTTACCTTGCTTTCCCCGGCCGTGACACCTGCAACAAAGCTGCATGTGCAAAACGGGAGTGGGGAGGGAGGGTTGGAAGAGGGAAGGCTGGATGGCTCACGAGCAAGACGAAAATACGTAGGTGTGAAGGTGGGGGAGAAGGGATGTGTGGGTGGGTGTGGGTGTGTGTACGGGTGGGTGTGGGTGGTTGTTTAGATGTGTGTGTGTGTGTGTGTGTGTGTGTGTGTGTGTGTGTGTGTGTGTATACGGGTGGGTATGGGTGGCTTTGGAGAAATTCTAATAAGAACTTCAACATGACGACCGAGCATGTGTGGGTGGGTGTGTGTGCGTGTGCGGGTGTCTGTGTGTGTGTGTGTGTGTGCGTGTGTGGGTGGGTGTGTGTGTGTGGGGAGGGGGGTGGGTGTGGCTGTGGAAAGGTTAGATGGTGAGCGACCAAGGCAAGAATACATAAGCGTGAAGGCGGGGAAGAAGGGATGTGTGGGTGTGGGTGGGTGTGCGTGTGCATGCACGCACGCACACTTACGCACACATGCACCCAGGCACCCAAACACCCGCGCACCCGCGCACCCACGCACACACGCACCCACGCACACACACACCCATGCACACACGCACCCACGCACACACGCACAATCCCACACAACAAGGACTTACATTGTATCCTGTGCCAAGGCATGTGCGGCACTTTCTCGGTCGCTGCAAGCAGAGAGAACGAGTGTCACAGAAGAGGGGAAGAGGGGGGAGACGAGGGAAGGAAGGAGGGGGGGGAGAGAGGCGAGGGGAGAGGGGAGGGGAGAGGGGAGGGGAGAGGGGAGGGGAGAGGGGAGGGAATGAAGGGAGAAGAAAAGGGAGAAGGGGGAGAAGGGGGGCGAATGGGGGAGAGAAGGAGGGGGGTGCAGTGCATTTACTGTGATGGTGAGCGAGTGACTAGACTATACAGTCACCTGGGTTCATAATTGATATATAACAACAAAAAACGCGCCATGACCACCAACCAGCACTCATCACCCCTTCTCCCGTCTCATCACCAACCTTCCCACCACCGATCCTCCTCACCACCGATCCTCCTCACCACCGATCCTCCTCACCACCGATCCTCCTCACCACCGAACCTCCTCACCACCGACCCTCCTCACCACCGATCCTCCTCACCACCGATCCTCCTCACCACCGATCCTCCTCACCACCGCTTCTACCCACCACCGATTCTTCCCACCGCCGATCCAGCACCAACCATAATTATAACTCAGTCTCACCAGCACGGTCCGCACAACCCGCACGCCGCGTCGCCACCACAACGGCAACGTCGCGCCGACAGCAGTAACGGCCGGCGCGATCCACGTCGACCGGCCGTCAGCGGCCGAATCGTAGCTGACGGAATTGAAGAAATCGACCGGCTCGATACCAGGCGCTTCGGGAGGCGACGCGAAGGGAGATGACGTGAGAGGAGAGACGGAGAGCGAGGAGAATGTCGGGACAACGTCCGTGATTGCCGGTGCGACGAGGAGAACGTTCGGGATGGTCGAAGCCGATTGGCGGTGAACTCGTAGGGATGGCGCGTCGACGTTTGTCCGGAAAGGACCGTGATGCGGGAGCGCCACCGGCGGAACCGGAAGGGGATGCGGAGTAACTGACATTTCGTCGAATCGTGTGGTGGGAACAAGGATTCTAAGGTGACATTAGGACACACGAGCTGATTGTTGACCTCTAATATTTCGTGACTTCAACAGTAACGCGTACGGCTCCGCTTTCTATGGAAACATGCAGAAATTGCGGAGCTTGTGTGTCTTTGTGTGATTGTTTGTACATGCTCCGAAAAGTTTTACCACTCATAGACAATAAATAGTTTCCTCTTGTCGAATCACCTAGATTGCCGTGTCGAGTGTGTCAGTGTCGGACGTCCAGATCCACCAGTTGCGGTGGCTTGCTGAAAGGAACAGAAGTTTGCTGTTGCTGATCGTGCATCACTACTGCTGGCTTTCTTGGTTGGGAAAAGGGGCACCAAACCGAAACGAACCGAAAGACAGGGAGTGTCAGCTTCCCGACCAGAGATTACACACGACACAGCCCGAAAATGGGTAGCCCTTGCAAAACCATTAATAGTTGGGAGACCCATTAAAACAGATCGAGATTAGAGTAACAACTAAGTACTGCTGCAGGAGTATCAAGATAAGTGTCCCAATTCCGGAAATCCCTTCACAGTTTTTGTTTTGGTTTTACACCGGAAACGCCATAGACATGGCGCTATTAACACCCTAGCATTAATACCAAACAGAAATCTAGCTCGGGAACCCGCAGTGGATGAACGGAGCACGAACATCAACCCGCCCGCCCATGTGCTTGAAAAAGTGCACGCAAACATTTTCGGGCAGATAGGGGAGATGTCCTTTTTGTTGGTTATTCGCAGAGCTCATGGCCATCTTGTAACATCAGATTGCGATAGCGTGTCTCTTCGCAGTGTCTAACCAGTCAGTTATGCCCAGCAATAACGGGCAGAACGAGACGACTCAAAGGACGGATTGATTGACGGAGCGCCGTTTACAGGCTCCCCTCACTGTGGAGCCCAACTTCACTCCAACAAGCTTTCACACACCCTACCATCCCTCCCAAGCTCCCCCCTGCTCCCTTTGTGCCTTTTTTACCCAGCCCCTCATTCAACCCAACAGCTCCCGTTCTGTCTGGTGTTTCTACTTTCGAAAATCGGTTGCTCTTGCTCACTCTCACTTGTACTTCTGCCTCTCAACTTCACGCTTCAACTTGCAGCTGGTTGTGCTGTACGCGTACGGTTTTTTGGAAAACAAATTGTTACCAAGACAGGTTTGATAGCCATAAAGAGCTGCTTCATTAGACGGCAAGAAACTACACTAATTACACGTACGCTCTTTCAAAAGAGACATTTAGTTACTCAAATTGCAAGAACGCTCTGGTTGTTGCGGGAAATTAAGCGTCCACGCAAGAAATGGACGTCCCTCGCAGGAGAGGAGGCGCCGGTGGTGTAGTTTCGCCAAAGAAAGAGGGTACCCGGCATCGCACAGACCGCGCTTCGGCCTCTTGTAGCCGTTCACAGATGGCGAGCACTAGCAATATCTATCCCCTCCTCCTCCTTGCCATATGCGGTGTAGCTACCGCGCCGCGATTAAGCGCGGCCGACCCGGATTCGGAGGCGCGAGTCGCGGTGGAATTGAACAGTATCAGCAGGTCGTTCTCGGTCGCTGACGTGGCAACATCACAGAACAATCCTATGGACTATCGTTATGACCTACCAGAGACCGCTCTTTATTATCACACTCTTATTCAGAACGTTTTCGCAGAAGCGCCTCGCGTAGCGCTTTTCGAGCACTCCCGTTACAGTCACGCCGACCTTTTGAAGCGCGCCGGCTGTTTGAGTCACGCGGACCGTTCCGACCGTTCGAGTCACGTGAATCGCCGCGCGCTGCAAGCTCCTCCTCTGCAGAACGTGACTCTCGCTCCGAACCGCACGTACCGCAAGAACCCCCTTAACGGGCTTAACTACTACACGGGCGGCTGGAATCCCAGCAGCAAGGACTACTGGGCGGTACGTGCTTCGCGAGAGAAATTAGTAATTCACGAAACTTCTGTAACTTGTGTAACCCAGATAACTCACATGATAAACCCAAATGACGCAAGAACCTTCTCGACGGGCTTAACTACTACACGGGCAGCTTGAATCCCAGCAGCAAGGATTACTGGGAGGTACGTGTTTCGCGAAAGAATGGGTAACTCACGTAAGTCGTGTAACCCACGTGATCCACGTTACTCACGTGATCCACGTTACTCACCTAGCCGACATTATCTTACACCAAAACCCACGTGACCCACGTAACCCACGTGACCCACGTAATCCAAGGAGTTCTCACAATGTAACCCGCGTAACTCACTCATCTCATGCGATGTAATGTAATGTAACTCGGAGCTGGTTTTCTGTGAATTCTGAAAAAAACACCAGCTCGTATGATATGATTTCCACGGAGTCCTCCCCCATGTAACTCACATGACACACTCATGCGATGTAACTCCTCCCACCAACACCCCCAACCACCCACCCTCCTTCTCCCCTCCCCCCCCCCCCCCCAGTCCGCCTGTGGTCGGTGACTACACGCCGCTCCTGCCCTTGACCTTACACCCCTCTCCTCCCCAACCATCCCCACCCCTCCCCACCCCTCGCCACCATTCCCCTTCCCCCAGTCCGTCATGTGTGGTCGGTGGTCTACGCGCCGCTGCTCGGGCTGCTCTGCTCGATGCTGCTCCTGTCCTTGACCTATCCCCACCCATCCCCACCCCTCGCCACGCTCCCCTCTCCCCAGTCCGTCATGTGGTCAGTGGTGTATGCCCCGCTGCTCGGCCTCCTCTGGCTGATTCTGGGCCTCGGGATTGTCGGATTCTCGCTGCTAACCTGCCTGTGCTGTCGCGACAAGTGGACCGAAATGAGGGACCCCAAATACGCCAAGTACACCAACAAGGACCTCTGGGTGCCGCTCGGCTTCATGCTCCTCGGGATTGTCGCCGTGCTGTGAGTTCTCTTTCTCTTTCTCTTTCTCTGGGTGCCGCTGGGCTTCATGCTCCTTGTAACGGGGATGGATTTCGTCTCTTCTTGCTTTAGCCACCAGTGGTGTCGAATGGATTGGAGGCGTGGAATTTGCTTGATTGCTTGGTCGTTACACTTTATGTGGGGTGTATTTCGTCACTCTTTTGGGGGGTATGGCTGTTCGTTTTTTCACCCTTTTTCTTTTCGGCGCGTTTTTACCTGATGGGATGGTGGGACAGGAGGTGTGCAACTGTGTAATGCACCGGACAGCACAGCACAGCACCGTACAGCACAGCACAGCACCGTACAGCACAGCACATCACATCACATCACAACTGAGGAGCCGAGTGCACACAAGGTGACGGAATCTTTCTGAATCACCCTTTCCTCTCCGTCCCCACTCCCTTCCATTTCCCTTCCCCCGCTCTCCCCCATCCATTCTTGACCCTCCCTGGACCCTCCCTCTCCTCGTCCTTCTCTAAACTCCCAGGGTCGGATTTTCCGTGATGCTAGCAGGGGGCATACAGCTGAGGAACCGAGTGCACACAGTCACGGACTTTGTCACACAGACCGTGGACTTCACACCTTTCCCCCTCCCATCCCTTACCCACAGGGTCGGATTTTCCGTGATGCTAGCAGGGGGCATACAGCTGAGGAACCGAGTGCACAAGGTGACGGATTTTATCACACAGACAGCTGACTTCACGGCCAACACTGTCTATAACATGACCCGCATCGTTGAGACGAGCTCCTCGATCCAAATCACCAACACTGTCATCCCAGGTGTGTGCTTTTGTTGTCGTTCTCGTGTTGTTGTCGTTCTGGTGTTGTTCTTGTTGTTGTTGTCGTGTTGTTGCTGTTGGTGGCGGTGTTTTTCTTTAGTTGAATTTCATTTGTAATATTTCTGTTGCTCTTCTGATTTTTCTCCAGCAACGCTTGCTTCTTTTATTGGTAGCAGATCTCCAGGCTAAGACAGCGGTTTTGCTGCAGCTGAGAAGAAGGTGGACATTCAGAACAAGGCGAGGGTTGCCAACCTGGCCGGCACTCGCCCTAAACCCTCCTTCTCCCTCCCCCTCTCCCTCTCGCTGCTTCCTCTTCCCTCCCTCCCCCTCCGTCCCCTTGCATCAGCTGACAAGAAGGTGGACATTCAGAACAAGGCAAGGGTGGCCAATGAGACAGCCACGGAGCTGCAGGCAAAGACGGCGGATGGCATCGTCATTATCAACGACGCACTGCGAGTAGTGTGAGTGCAGTGCAGTGAGATGCGGTGGGGTGCAGTGCAGTGCGGTGCACTGAGATGCGGTGGGGTGCAGTGCAGTGCGGTGCACTGAGATGCGGTGGGGTGCAGTGCAGTGCGGTGCGGTGAGGTGTGCGATGTGGTACAAGGGTGGCCAACGTGACGGCCACGGAGCTGCATGCCAAGACGGCGGACGGCATCGTCGTCATCAACGACGCGCTGCGAGTAGTGTGAGTGCAGTGCGGTATGGTGCAGTGTTGCGTGGTGCAGTGTGGTGTGGTGCGGCGTGGTGTGGTGCGGTGTGGTGAGGTGTGCCATGGTGAGGGGTGCAGTGGGGTGTGATGCGGTGCAGTGTAGCTGCTCCATGTGTGTGTGAGCACAAGCTGCAGATTTATGTATTTATTATTATTATTAGACGGCAAATGGCATCACCATCATCAACGACCCGCTACGCGTCATGTATGTGAGTGCATTGCGGCGTGGTGAGGTGAGGTGAGGTTTGGTGCAGTTCAGTGCAGTGAGTCAGGGTGCTTGCAGTGCATAGCTGCTGCACTGTGAGTATGAACTGCAGGCTAAGACGGCAAGTGGCATCACCATCACCAACGATGCCCTACTTGTTATGTGAGTGCTGCTTCTGTGCGGTGTGGTGTGGTGCGGTTCAATGCGGTGAGCCTATGACCAGCACGGCACGCCGAGCACGCTGCCCTTCTCAATTATCGGGTGCATCTTTTAATGTGAGTGCCATCATCACCATTGCCGCTCTCTGCATCGTTTTATTTGTCTAAGAAAGCTATCCCTGTCCCACGTCTGTGTTTTCTTCCCTGCCCTCTCTTCCTGCCTCTCCACCCGCCCCTCAGCACACTGACCTTCTCAATCATCGGATGCATCATCACTGCTCTCTGCACCGTCGCCCTATGTGCATTCCTCCTATTTTCAATCCTCTCCCTCCCTGTACACCCCGTTCCCCCCCTCAGCACGATCACCTTCTCAATCATCGGATGCATCATCACCATTCTCTGCATCCTCGCCTCCCTTCATTCCACTCCCTCCCTGCCCACACCCCCACCCCCACCCCCACCCCCACCCCCAACCCCCCCTCTTTCCTTCACAGCACGATCACCTTCTCAATCATCGGATGCATCATCACTGTTCTCTGCATATTCGCCCTCCGTGGGTTCTCCCTCCTCTCCTCGCCCTCTCCCCTCCTCTCGTCGCCCTCTCCCCTCCTCTCCCCGCTCTCTCCCCCCCTTCTCCTCTCTTCCCTCTTACCTCCTATAATTCCTCCCTCTCCCTTTTTTTCCCTCTATCCTCTTCTCTTTCCCACTCTTTCGCCTCCCAATAACAGCACCATGCTTCAAAGTCTAACTACTTCTCTTGCTCGTTGACGTCTCTTTCCCTCACCCTTACCAACCCTCTCTCCCTCAACATCCACACCTCTCCTCTCCTCTTCCTCCTTCTCTGCCCTTCTTGCCTGCAGTGTTCTGTCTTCTCAAATGGGTTGTTGCTTCCAACGTGTGAGTGTTTCTTCCCCCCCCCCCCCCTTCCCCTCTTTATATATATATATATATATATATATATATATATACATTTCCCACACACACTAGAAAGCTGCATACATAAACAAAGTCAGATATCCAGTTTCTCACGCATCCAAAGCGTGAGTGTTTTCTTCTCCTCCTTTTATTTTCTTTTCTTTTGTTTTCTTCTCTCTCTTTTTCTCTCTTCTTTTCTTTTTAATCAGTTATCCACAAGCTTCATGTTTTAGCAATTGCTTCCAAACGGGCTTCAAACAAATCAAGTATCGTTTCTTTGATCTTTACCTATTCCCTTTAACAGCATCATCACTATAATATGGGTGGTGGTTTTCTTCACATGGTGCACCACTGCTGGTTTAATCATTGCATATCTGTAAGTGCTTACTACCTCGCATTGCCTTGTGAGGCGCCTCAAAAGCATTTTGAGGCGCCTCAAAATATCTGTAAGTGCTTACTACCTCGCATTGCCTTCCTTAATTGATTCCTATTGTTAAGAAGCCGTTGTCATATCGTATCTGCTTGCCGTTGTTTCTGTAAAAACCAAAATAACATATTTCTACTTTCATTCTTGCAAGCAACCCCCACAATCTGCAAGCTTGTACTACTAATTACACTGTACAAATGGCTTAACAACCCTCAAAACCAAATTCCTATTCTCCACCTACCAACCGCTAATTTCAACCAGAGAGTGAACTGCAATACTTGTGTGGCGTTAGAAGGTGAATTTTGGGTTGACTCAAAAGTCACCTCTCAACCAGAGTGAACGGTGATACAAGTGTGGCGTTAGAAGAGGTGGAACAGTCCCCCACCATCAGCACCAGCGCCATGGACACATATCTTCACTGCATCCCTAGTGGGTCGAGGCTGCTCTCTCTCCCTCATCTCTACCCTCTCCCTTCAACCCAACCCCCAAACACCCCAGCCCCCAACCAGGGTGAACGGTGATACGAGCGTCGCCTTAGAAGAAGTGGAACAGTCCCCCACCAGCAGCAGCAGTGCCATGGACAAATACCTCCACTACATCCCAAGCGACAACTGCCTGCTCCCTCCCTCCCTTCCCCTCCCTCCCTTCCCCTCCCTCCCCTCCCCTCCCCTCCCCTCCCCTCCCCTCCCCTCCCCTCCCCTCCCCCCCCCCCTCCCCTCCCCTCCCCTCCCCTCCCCTCCCTCCCCCCGTGAATCCCGAACTCCTAACCCCCAACTCTCGGATTCCCAATCTCCAATCCCCCAACCTCCATAAAACGCCATCCATTCTTCTTTCCAGAGTGAACGGCGATACACGTGTGGCGTTGGAGGAGGTGGAACAGTCCCCTACTATCAGCAGCGCCATGGATAAATACGTCCACTGCACCCCAACAATCAACGCTGCTCTTCCCTCATCTCCACTCCCTCCCTTCAACCCCCAACTCCAATCCCTTTCCCTTCAAACCTAAACCTCTCCAGGGTGAACGGCGATACAAGTGTGGCGTTGGAGGAGGTTGAACAGTCCCCCACCATCAGCAGCGCCATGAACAAATGCCTCCACTGCATCCCAAGCGGTCTAGCCATCATCTCGTCTCCCTCCCTTCCCTTTCACCACCAGGGTGAACGGCGATACAAGCGTCGCATTACAAGAGGTGGAGCAGTCCCCCACTATCAGCAGCGCCATGGACAAATACCTCCACTGCATTCCCAGCGACAAGCTCATGAACGCCACACGCTACGCGCGCTACACCGCCGCCACCGTGCTCACCACGGCCAACACCTCTGTTGCCACCAACGCACCCTCGGTGAGTGCAGTGCTTGCAGGTGCAGCACCTAGTATGAGTGCAGTGCTTGCAGGTGTAGCACCTAGTATGAGTGCAGTTGTACACCACGCGCTATGCTCGCTGCGCCACCACCGTGCTCACCACGGCCAACACCTCTGTTGCCACCAATGCACCTTCGGTAAGTAAAGGGTAGTGGTCGTGGTACCATTTGACTCGGTCAATGTTCCGTTGACTCGGTCAATGCTCCGTTGACTCGGTCAATGCTCCTGCCGGCACTGATATTTGAGCTGCTCAAAAGTCTCCCCCCACCTTCCGTCCTCCCTTTAGATTTCGCCTCAAATATCATTCAAGAATCCCCTCCCTCCCCCTCTGTCCACCCTTCTCCCTCCCCTCTCCCCACCACCCTGCCTCCCCTCCTCTCCCACTTCCCCTGCCTCCCACCACAGATCTTTGAATTTCTCCATGCCCCGGGCGGCATCTGTGTGCCGTACGGCCCGCCGCCCGATTACACGCGCGACATGAGCTACTGCGGTGAAGGCACCATCACCTTCCAGCAGCTCGTGAATGTGAGAATCTCGTGTGAGCTGACTTGGCGTGTGTGATGACGTGGCAGGTGTGCTGATGTGGCATGTGTTCTGATGTGCCATGTGTGCTGATGTGCCATGTCACAGCACTGTTGCAACACTTTCACTGTCGCAGCTCAAATCTCCGATCCCCCAACATCCTCGCTCTCCTCAACTTAACTCACAGCAGCATATGAGTGCCACGTGAGAAAAGAGAGTTTTCGAGTCGTCTCAAAAGCTCTCTTTTATCACGTATCTCACAGCAGCATGAGAGTGTCACACCCCGCCCATTCCCTTCTTTGCTCCTCGGCACTCCCCTCCCCTTCCCCTTTCTGCTCTCGCCCTACTTGTTCTATCCCCATCTTACATGCCCCTCCCCTCGTGCCTCCCCACCCCCAGAGACCGGCAGCAACACCCAACAGCACCACTTTGGTGCCGGTGCTGCGAAACATGTTGTTTCTCACTCCCCTATCCTCCTTCCCCACTCCCCCCTCCCTTTTACCCTCAGGGGCTGGCAACAACGGCCAACAGCAGCACGGTGGTGCCAGAGGCCGTGAAGAACGATCTCACAGCCACCGCCACAACGCTCTCACTCCTCGAATCCACCATCCCCAACGTGCTCGTGCTCGTCAACTGCTCCTATGTTGCTGAAATCGCCCAGGTACGGCTTGGCTTCCCCTTGCCTCACGTGCTCCTATGCTGCCCTGCCAAGATCGCCCAGGTACGACTGTGACCTTGCACTCTGGGGCCCCATGTGTGCGGTTTGAGGCTCTTACGACGAATGCATGCACCGTTCCCAACGCCCTCGTGCTAGCCAGTTGCTTTTTTGTCGCCGAGGTCGGCCTTTCCTCGGCTTCCCCTTTAATCCCATGGCCTCATGCCCCCATGCCCCCATGTCCTTATGCCCCCGTGCCCCCGTGCTCCCGTGCTCTCGTGCGCCTCTTTGTGTGTCCTCTCCCTCCCCTCCCTGCTCTCCCTCCTCTCATCTCCCTTTTCTCCCTCCTCTCCCTCCTCTCATCTCCCTTTTCTCCCTCCTCTCCCTCCTCTCATCTCCCTTTTCTCCCTCCTCTCCCTCCTCTCATCTCCCTTTTCTCCCTCCTCTCCCTCCTCTCAAGCAGTCCGTGTATTAGATCCGAGCGGGTACAGACATGCACGTGGATACATATAACATGCATTCTAGCTACTAACCCTCCCCCATTTCCTACTAACCCTCCACTCTTTCTCTTCCTCCTCTCTTTCTCTCCCTCCTCTCCCTCGTCTCTTTCTCTCCTCCTCTCCCTCCGCTCTTTCTCTCCTCTCTTTCTCTTCCTCCTCTCTTTCTCTCCCTCCTCTCCCTCCTCTCTTTCTCTCCCTCCTCTCTTTCTCTCCCTCCTCTCTTTCTCTCCCTCCTCTCCCTTGCCACCACAGGCTATGGTGGTGCACTTTCATATCATCTGGATTGGAATCCTTGTCATCACTGCTCCATTCGGACTCTCTTCTCCCCTCATCTCCTCCTCCCCCTCTTCCTCTTTCCACAGTTTGCATTGAACGAGGCACAGGCAATGGCGGTGGATTTCCCGATGCATAGGTCGGATTCCTGGTCATCACCATCGCATGAATAAATGGATGGGCTGCTGTTCCGACATGCCACCTTACCTTCAGACTCTCTCTTCTCCATCCTCTCCCTCTTCTCCATCCTCTCCCTCCTCTCCCTCCCTCCTCTCCCTCCTCACCCTTCTCTCCCTCTTCTCCCTCCTCTCCCTCTTCCCCCTCTCCCTCTTGACACCTCATCTCTCTTTGTCCCACAGTTTGCATTGGACGAGGCGCAGGCGATGGTAACGGATTTCCAGATGCTCTGGATTGGCTTCCTGGTCATCACTATCGCCTGCATGATGCAGGCCCTCTCCATGCCTATCTATGTCTTCCGAGCCGTCAGGATCGGAAACAGGCTCGGCGACGACGAAGCTGAGGGGTAAGACTTGGGGAATGGGTGTGGGAACAGGGGACGGGGGATGGGGTGAGGTGATAGGGGGTGGTGAAGGGTGGGGGTTGTGGGATGGGGTGGGAGGATGGGGGAAGAGTTGGGTGGGATATTGAGTCCTTGAAGAATAAACTTTCTTGTTTTCCAAGCCTCTCAAAAGCTACCCCATTGCACATCATGCACGAACAAAAATGCACGGGATAGGCATAAGGATACATACCACCTCCATCACTAAAGCTGCATGCCTCCCACCCATTCCCATCCCCTTTATTGTCTTCACCACGTCAGCCTCTACATGGCTTCAGCTGTTCCAGTCGCATACCCTGCAGAGGGGGAGCGTGAGGGGCATACACAAGGCAACGAGCCTAGCTTCGCAGAAGGCTCGACCAACTCATATGTAGGCTTGGATCAAACTTAAAGCAGCAGCTCATTGGGCGAAAGCTACAAGTAAAAACCTTTGTGGCTGCCACGTAGAAATAGGGTCTGTGTGGGGGACGGGGCTCCATGGCTCGGAGCAATCGTATAGCAGCAGCTGATGTGCGGGCGAAAGCGGTGCTGGTTACAAGTAAAAAATACGGTGTCTGTTTTGTTAATTGGTTTGGTACAGTAAGGGCGTATTCCTATCCTCCTATCAAGAAAACCTCCTATCAAGCTCTCACTGGAAAATTCCCTAAACCCAAAATCTCTCGCTACTTTTACCAGGCAAAAGGTACAATCTTGATAGGAGGTTTCTTGATAGGAGGCCGTAGGAATACGCCCTAAACCTTGTCTATGACCTTTGCTTCTATAAAATATATGATTTGCCAGTTGAGTTTGATTGTTATACTTGCATATCTGTCATATGTTAATCTTTCATCCTGGGCTATAAATTTTGGAATTTAATGATGGTGTGTACATCCAACAAGTAGAGAATGTGTGAATATAATTCGACAATTGGCTATTTATAGTTTAGAGTGACTTTCTGGTACGTTTTGAGGTAATTGTTTGAGCGGGGTCTAGTGTATTGCGATTCATTATCCAGATTCCACATTTGCGATGCGAACCCCGACGAGCTCTGCTTGTCTGGTTGCACTTCGCTCCAGATCTTAGGACGCGTCAACTCCTGCAAAACGTGGCGATCGATCCTGCGCAGGATCGAATTTTGACTGGGTTTGAGAAGTTTCTAATAGATTTTAGCTGTAAAAGCGGGATTTCAGTGCGGTGGACGTTCGATATTGCACGATCGATCGCCGTTTTTTGCAGGAGTTGACGCGTCCTTAGCGCCTGGTTGCACATTTACAGTTGATGCTTCGTGTTTCAGGACGGTTCGACACGGTGGTAAGCGTTATTTACTTTTTCTGTTTTGGACTTCTACACGACAAATTGGCCGACCTGAACACTCCTTGCGAATCGCGATAGGTCAGCAACTCCATGTAGACTCTCGGGCAGAATTGACGAACGCACCGGCAGGCAAAAGGGGCACATACAGATGTTCTCGATTAGAGTCCACGTGAAAAACACGCGCGCTGCGGGCCTTTGTGGAAAACTCACAAACCCCGGGCAAAAGGGAACTTATAGTCCCGTATAAGAACAATTGCATGAAGAGAGATTTTTCTTCGCTACTATTCTTGTTTTTCTGTCACATACGTACATTCGGACTACGCTGTCTTCAACTTCTCGTCGCACGGTTCACCGCGTTGATCAGTGTCGCAGGACAAACAGGCAGAAAAATACAAAATAATTTATTTTTAAGGCCGAAATGAAAGACAACATTTTTGTTTTACACTGTAAGCGAGATTAATGAGATGGCATCGTCGGAGCTCGCGGGGAACCGCGCAACAGGATTTCGACACAAGAGCGGTCAAGATAAACAGACAAACACAATTGCAAAAAGTAAATAGTGAATCAAAACTTCCTTTCGTTTTATTTTCTCTAAATGTTCTGACAGGTTCGATTTGTGTCCTCTGATTGGCTGCGGAACTGATTCGTGCAATGATTCAGTCAAGATGCAAGATTTCCCGCCAAAAACGGGACTGTAGAGGAGGGGATACACCTAGGACTTATGTGAAAAATCTACTCGTTGAGGAAATGGGACTCTTTTAGGAAGGGCCTCTAAGCCAGAACATCTGTACGTGTGTTCAAACTTTACACCTGACCCTTGGGAACGTGTCCAACACGTTCGTCTGAGTGCGGTTCGTCTGAACAGCGGTCCATTCAACATCTAGATGGGTTAGGTAAGGTACACATGATGCCCGACCAGTGCACGTGAATTTGCCATGCACCGGATGGAAACGCTGCCCCCGAGCTCGAAACCCCTGCTTGCTCCTCCCACAGTACAAACACATGGGTGGCTGACAACAGTACACGCGCCACGGCCACCAATGCACGTGCAGTCCAGAACAAGGCATGCCGACCCTGATTTGCCTTGTTTCTAGGCCTGGAGTCAGCCTGGTATATCTCAACGGAACGTATCGGGCGCGCTAACGACAAAGACGAAACCACAAACCGACAAACTGCCCGGGGCAAAAAAAATAACCCCAGAGGGACGGCATGCCATTCGGGAGCCTCAGCCCTAAAATTTTAGGGTTTAGGCTCCCCCGGAAACGGAGCGCCACCCCCGGTTCCGTTGAGAGATACAGTCAGGTGAAATGAATGGACGAAACGTGCGTGGTTTCGTGAACGCATTCGCCCAACTGCCCCGCCACCTACGCAGGGTTCATCGTGCATGTAACAGACATTTGGGCAGATTCACGCTGCCACGTGTATTCTGCGCTTGTGGGGTACAGGCGCATTATCAGTCAGGCGTTGTTCACCGACCCCACGTCCGCGCATTTGATCGTGTGGTTACCAAACCACACGATCGAATATGCAAGCCAGGTGCATGGAACGAACACCATCCACACGAATGGGACGAGCCACAAAGAACAGGCCCCAGCAGTGCCCCAGCACGCCCGCCGTCTGGTGTTAAAATCAGAACAACGAATTCACAAATTCAGCATTCTCTCACACCCAGCCTCTCACAATGCCCCGTTTTAATCGACGGGAGCAGCTCCCGCTCCATATCAAGCGCGCTATTTGCGCGCACCACGTCGAAAACCCCCGCCTGCGTCATGTTGACCTGGCGAGGTGGTGTTACTCTCAGTACGGGTTGCGCCCGGATCGCTCCACTGTCGGGCGCATTTTGAAGAGCGCCGAGCGATGGGCTGTCACGGCAACCGGCGACAACCAAGTGCACCGTCGAGGTGGCGCATGGCCTGAGCTGGAGCAGACCATGGCGCGGTGGATCGCAAACGCAGGGCCCGCTGGCGTGCCCCTTACGCTGCAGACCATCCGCGACCATGTCGCGACCATGGCGCGGAACATGGGCATTCCGCCCACATTGTCAGAGTTATATGACATAGCTACTGTAGGCTATAGTGGGGTAGCACATATGGGGTACAGTTGCCTAGGGTTTGCCTTTTGTACCCAACTTTCACTTAGTCATTTCATTCCTGTTTTCTTGATTCACATGGTATAGAGCGGGTTCCTACATGGGACCGTTCCTTCCTAAGGGCCCACCATAAGAATTTTTTTTTTTTAGCTGCCCGCGCACATTGCGCCCTGCCCTAAAAATTTTTTTTAGCGGCCCCTACGCTGCCCCTACGCGGCCCCTACGCCGCCTCCCACGCGCCCCCTATGCGGCCCCTGGCGGCGCCCTGACGAGGCCCCTGCCGGCGCCCTATCGCGGCCCCTGACGCGCCCCCTGGTGGCGCCCTGACGCGGCCCTGACGCGGCCTGACGCGGCCCCTGGCGGCGCCCTGACGCGGCCTGCCGTGGCCCCTGACGCGGCCCTGACGCGGCCTGCCGCGGCCCCTGCCGCGGCCCTGAAGCGGCCCCTGACGCGGCCCTGACACGGCTCTGCCGCGGCCCTGACGCGGCCCTGACGCGGCCCCTGGCGGCGCCCTGACGCGGCCCCTGACGCGGCGCCCTGACGCGGCCCCTGCCGCGGCCCTGACGCGGCCCTGCCGCAGCCCCTGACGCGGCCCTGACGCGGCCTGCTGCGGCCCCTGCCGCGGCCCTGAAGCGGCCCCTGACGCGGCCCTGACGCGGCTCTGCCGCGGCCCTGACGCGACCCTGACGCGGCCCCTGCCGCGGCCCCTGGCGGCGCCCTGACGCGGCCCCTGACGCGGCGCCCTGACGCGGCCCTGCCGCGGCCCCTGACGCGGCCCCTGCCGCGGCCCCTGACGCGGCCCCTGACGCGGCCCCTGTCGCGGCCCCTGACGCGGCCCCGCCACCTACCTTTCCGGCCACGCCGCCTCCTCTCAGCGGCCCCGCCGCCTCCTCCCAGCGGCCCCGGACGCCGCCCTCTCAGCGGCCCCGCCGAGCCGCCCAGCAGCCTAGCCGCCCAGCAGCTGAGCCACCGAGCCGCCCAGCAGCCGAGCCGCCGAGCCGCCCAGCAGCCGAGCCGCCCAGCAGCAGAGCCGCCGAGCCGCCCAGCAGCCGAGCCGCTGAGCCGCCCAGCCGCCGAGCCGCCCAGCAGCCGAGCCGCCCAGCAGCCGAGTCGCCGAGCCGCCCTGCAGCCGAGCCGCCCGAGCCGCCCTGTCCGGTAAGAGCAGCGCCTCTCTCACAGCACTGCCCTCACCCCACTGTTTGCGCTGCTAGTCTACTGCTGTCATGGCTACCCCTAGTGTCCTCGCTTTTGACGCTGAGGGTCGGGCCATTGACTTTGACGTCTGGATAGATGACCTGCAGCTTTTCTTACAGTGCGATAGGGCAGACGGCCTCTCCCTCTTTGACCTCACTTCTGGTGCCTCTCCTGCCCCCGCCACTGATGCTGACGCAACTGTTCGCTCCCAGTGGGCCACGCGCGATGCTGCTGCACGTCTTGCTGTGCGTCGCCACCTGCCTACCTCTGAGCGTGCGCACTTTAGCCAGTACAAGAGTGCTCAGACCTTGTACGACGCTGTAGTTGCACGCTACTCCTCCCCTGCCACTGCTGCACTGAGTCGCCTCATGCTACCGTACCTCTTCCCTGAC